AAATGAGAAAAATATTACTCAATCACACTGAAAAGTGTAAAAATAAAGCTCAAGAGCAAAGGCTCAGAAAAGTGGCCTCCAAGTGCAAATATATATACCCTCAACCTTTTTTTTTTTCCTCCTCTCTTTTTAAACTTATTTTCAAACTCTGTGTGACTTCACGGCAGTTTTGAGGCAGAAGGCACAGGAGCATGGGCAGCCTCGTACCTCTGTGACCAGATCCTGTAGGAAACCCATATCCAAGCTTACTGCAGCATGAAAGAAAAAGAGGCATGCCCTCTTCTACCCATTTCCCTTTACCATGTCCCGCTAACTGTACAGAGAAAAAATGTCAGAGTGTACACAGCAGCCTGCTGTATGTTTTCTTCTGCTTCTGTGGCAGGGATGAGTTTTCTGTTTCTGAAGAACCCCCCTCATGGTGTATTGCCTGGAGTAGGTCCCTTCCCATCTGGGGTGCTCCTCTTCAGACTTCTCTTTTTCTTTCTGTAGCAAGCCCAAGGACTTGTCTCTACAAACCATAGCCATAAGAGGACTAGAGACCAAGATCTTTGGTCTTAGAACCACAGAATCATTAGGGTTGAAAGGGACCTCTGGAGATCATCTAGTCCAACCCCCTGCCTGCCTAGCGTGGGAATCAGAGCCTGGAAAAACTTTTAAAGCGAGCAGGTTATACAGGAATGTGTCCACGTGGGTTTGGAATGTCTCCAGAGAGGGAGACTCCATGACCTCCCTGGGCAGCCTGTTCTATCCCTCTGCCACCCTCAAAATAAAGAAGTTCTTAATGTTGAGGTGAAACTTCACACTTGTGAAGTCTTCAGCCACTTGAGCTGTATTTTTTCCCTAGAAGGTGCTTTTTCACAACCTCTCGTTTGGCTTTCTTGTCTTCAGTCAGAGTAACAGTATTCTAGTTAATGGTGGCTTTTATTTTAAAGGGAAAGAGCAATGCAAGAAAAGTAAAGTACTTCACTGATAATTTAGTGATTACTAGAAAGTTGCTCTGCAAAGATAATTTCTGTGTCATAATGAAGCTGATATCTTCTCTCTATATCCAACCAACCAGCTATTGGCAATCATGCCAAAAACCAAACCAAAACCCGAAATGGGTTTTCTATTACCTGTACTTCAGTGTTCTACTGTGACCCAAGAGTTATGGCAATGGCTCTCTTTGGCAAGTACCTGCTGCTGCTTGTGGGATGCTACCGAAGGTCCAGCAGGGCCACAGAAGGATGCAAGCTCCAGCAGGTTTGTGCTATGGCATATTTGAAAGCTTCTAGTCTTTTCTGTAAATAGCTATATGAAGAAGTTTGTTAAGTTTGGTTGACTTTTGATCTATATTTTAAGTGTTTTTTTTCCCTGTAGGAAAGGATAACGTGATTAGTGTGTTTCTGTATTAGGATGCTTCCACTCCCTCCTTTTGAATTTTAGGGCATCTTTTATGCTTGTATTCTCAATATATACCTACAGAGGCCATAATATTTGACCTTTGGAAATCCCATATTATGGCTCTGATTTATGCTGTGATGACAGACATAAGAGCCCACTGAAATCAGTGTGGCTCTGGATGGTTACCATGGTTCTTCTCTGAGCCTCAGATGGAAGGATCTGCTTTTATGTTAATATCTAAGAAGAAACAAAGGGAATTGGAATTCATGTTTTATAAAGAATCAATGTCATTTTCATGTTCCTACCTCACTCCCCATCATCCTAAAATGCAAAGAAAGCTAAATGTCAAGTGTCAGTGGAGATGTATGTTAAAAATTAAAATACATATTTTTTTCCACTGCTGTGAATACTGTTTTAATGGCACTGGAGAGATGTGCTGTTGCAGACAGGTGCTCCTGTAGATTTAAATACTATGTCAATCACACCTACTATGTCAATCACAGGGTTAAGAGGCAGACAGCTTTCATCAAAGGCCAGACGAACCCCTCCCAATTTAGATCAACTCCACTGCAATTAAACAGTGTTAGTGTTAGGCCTTCACAATTGTCAGTACCTGGTTGCTACCCCCTGTTAGCAGCAGTTGATAGTTATTCTACAGAATTTCTTTAGGTTTTAGAAAATGCTTTAAATGAAAGCATAGAGGAAAACACAGCACTTGGAAAAACGAGGAGAGGGTGTGGGTAGTTACGGTACTGAACTGCAGAAGAGCTGTATTTCATAGTAACTGTGCTGCTGTTTGTTCTTGGAAAAATCACTTATTGTTCTCTTATCCCTGTACTGCTCTGAAGAATCTACAAAAAAAAACATTAAGAAAACAAATTCAAGGAAGCAGTGGAACGTGAATTCAAGAGCAGAATGTGATTGCACAAGGAGATTCTACACCGAACTGAAACATTCATGTTTTGGATCATTGAGAACAAATGAAGTACAATACCGGTCTGTTCCCTTTCTATTCTTATGTCTCCGCTTTGTTTTACTTTCCTTAGCTTAGATTTTTTTTCCTTTTTGGAGTCCTGCAGGGAGGAAAAAGGAGCCTTTGTTTTAAAAAGTCTGAGACCAACAGTGGCCCATTGATCATAATTAAGTCTAAAATAATACGCTTTTGCTGACCTGTTTGTATTGAATCCAAAAAATTTTATGTTATACCTGCTGTAGTCTTGGTCTGCCCCCAGATTCAGTTGCTTGTTCCTGAGCTTCTGGTTCTGGGGCAATAACTTTTAAAGCCTAAATAAACCTATGTGTTTTCAGGGCTGCATGTGAAAACACCTCCTTTTCTGTATAAGAACAAATCGATCATAATCAGATGTTGTCTTTGTCATGTACTCTCTTTTCTTTGACAGACAGCTGTCCCCATAACAACCATCTCTGTTGTCAATAACTTCCTCAGATCATGAAATGGCACACAGGATGGTGGTAGTTCTCATAGTAACACTCGGAGGTTGCATAAAAATTTTAAGTAATCTTACCGTGATGTGCTTGGACCCAATTCAGAGCTTCCTGAAGTCTGTATGAAACTCTGCTGATTTCAACAATCATTCATCTCTTCAGGGGCTGCTTCTGACCTTTTGAATTCAGGTTTTTAACATGACAAACTACAGAGGCTTAACCCTGTGGCTCTTGGTAGTCTAGTATGCTCTAATGAGTCAATATGCTTAGTTGTAGAACAAATATGCTTCAGGAAAATAGTGGAGAGATTCACAAAAAATATGTCTTGGCATCATTATCCTATGAATGGGGAGTGTTAGGTGCCTTGGACATGCTTGTATCTGTTCTCAGCCTGGGTCTTTACAGACACCCACAACACACATGCAGGCATAGTCCCATCCAGCTCGTAAGAATGCATGCTCAGGATAAAAGCCCTTCAAGGGTCACCCAATACCTGTCTCCCAGACTGCTCATTTGACTCACCAGCTGGTCTGGTTTGGAGTTCATTACCAGATCAGATGCACAGGCATAGAATAGAGAACACAATCACACGGAAGGTAGTTAAAAACGGAATTTAAAAAGAGGATAGGACAGACAGTGGCAATTAGCCATGGGGCTCAGTCACACAAACATACTGACCAGCAGCCTACTTACATGCAGATGGCCTTTTTTTATATCCTTGCTCCAACACACCTCAATCTTTTTAGCTCTTCCCTGATCTGCCTTTGTGCCTCCCTTCCTTGTCTTTGGCCTTTTCCCTAAACATCTTATAATAATCCTGTATCATTGTAATAGTCTCCTAATCAATCACAGTGTTTCCCTCTCGGACACTTTCTTGTAAATCCTGCTCTCCTTTATGCAATAGTCCCCTTAGGTTGTACAGCCTACCAGAGAGTTTCGATTGTTGAATTTCTCAGTAGGTTTTGCACCAGGGAAACAGATTTGGTAGTCTTAGGGACAATTGACTCAGATGAACCCAGTTTTCTGGATTTTTGTGTTTATTTTGAATAACCATTAGCTACACTGATCACAAATCTATCTATTCTGCATTATTTACTCCCTTCAGAGCTGCTTATTCAGTACCATTATCATTAAAAATCTCATTTGGCCCAACCAGATGAATCGGAATAGGGTGAGAATCCACTTAGTGCATTCCACAGCAACCCACCCTGCAGCATGCATTGAGTCCTCAAGCAGAGATTATACTTTACAGTTTTGACTGCTGTGTGTTTTAGGGCATCTGAGAACACAAGCTTGGTACTGACTTGCTACTGAGGATAGCCTTCGGATTCTGTACAGGTATATGCTATGGTTTAATCCATCAGGTTTTTTATTTCATATAGAGCTGTGCCTGTGTGTTTTCTTGCCTGGGAAAAATCTTCAAATATGTTGTGTTTTTTTCTTCTTTTTTTCTTGAGAAGTGACAACATCTGTGCAGGTTATGGTGCAGTGGTGGCCAGGCCCTCACAGGCTGGCCCAGGCAGATGCCCAGCAGGAGCCCCTCCAGCTGTACAGCTCACAGGTGGGCCTGCACCTATCTCCAGGGCAGCGGGATGCTGCTCCATACAGGTCAGCCCATCTGCAGGGCAGTGGGATGCTGGTCCTTGTGCCTGTTCACAAGCACAAGTCTGCAGATCAGGCTGTGCAGTGCCGAACAACTACTGCACAAAAGGCTGCAGAAAAGAGGGTGCTATGTTGCAAACACGAGACGCACAGTCTTGGACATTCAGGAAAATGTCTACTGCATGAATCTCATGTTCAGTGCAAGAAACTTGTCTGGTCTGCACGAGGGTGTGGGTGTAGAGGGATGGGTACACAAACAGGTCTGTGTGAGGGGTATTTGGTTTTTGAACATTGAAATCATTGCTCTGCCCAAGCATAACGTATCATTGGACAACAGGTTGGTGGTAAAGCCGAAGGAAAGGTTCCCTTTGGCAGGGAATAACCACTGTCTCCGCATGTATGTCTCATCCGATGCTGGGGTGAGAAGGGAGCCGGGAGCTGCGGTTCACATTCGTTCGCAACTACTGCCATCCAGAGCTCGGGAGGCGAAACTGCTCTGCCAGGCTCAGGGTTGAGTCTATTGCAAAACTTGGACTCTTGACCTCGGTGAATTGTTGTATTCTTTTTTGCTTTCCTGCAATGGGATTTTTATTACTTTTTGGATGGGGAGAAACTGTAATTTTTTGATGCTGTCCTGCCAACCACCCAAGACTCAAGGAAGCCCTATTTCCCGGGCAAAATCAAACCTCAGGAGATAGCGGCTTTGCCTACTCATGCAGCCTGAAAGTTCACCCACAGCCTGTCCTCACAGTCATATTCCCAGGTTTTCTGTACCAGATCTGCTCATTGCCATATAATTTTTTTCCCTCTCTCTTTTTGTTTCCTTTTGTCAGGGTTTTATAAAACATTAAGAAACAATAGGGAATGAAATACTTCTCCGCATGTGATCTTCACATAGGTCATTGGGGTTTTTTTGCATGATCATATATCTGGGCAAAGTCGTTTTCTTCTTCAAATCTTTGTCTGCATAGAGGAATAAAGTGTTACCTTACGACTAACCTAAAATGAAAGTCTATGTTTAATGTTAGCCTGTTTCTTTCAGTGCAGCCTGTTACAGACACCAGAATACTTTATCTCAGGAGTGGTGGATCATAGAATCATGGAATCATTGAATGTTAAGGGATTGAAAGTGTAGGAAATAAATAGGATGTTTTATTACAAGCAGGGGTTTCCATGGCTGCCTCGTGCTGGGGCACTTGGGAGCCATTTTGTTTAAAGGACTGGGGAACTATTTTGTGGTCAGGGACCAGTGGACTGCTTGTGATTCTGCTTGAAGTTGCTTATTGCTGCTGCCTACTTGCTGCTACATACAGTTCTGCTTGGGGTTGCCTATTGCACTGCTTATAGTTCTGCCTGCTTACTGCTACTTATTGTTACTTATTGTTCTGTTTGCTTTACAGTTCGAAGGTGAGCAGGGAAGAATGTAAGGTGGTGAGACCAGCCTGGGCTCACTGCCAGGGAACCATGCGGCCCGCGGCAGGGACACAACCTGGTAGGTGGATGAAGACAACCAATGGGCTGCACCAGAAAGCGAAGATTGCCTTTTAAGAAAGAAAAGAGCGAGGCCTAGCATGGGAGGAGTGAGGGAGTGGTTCTGCAAATCGAAGGGTCTTAAAGGGCTCGTCCCTCCCAGTCAGGTGTGCTCGAACCTGGTCATGAGTTCGGTGCAGCCAGCGCGCTGTTAATAAAGTTCTTTGTTTCACTTTATTTGGCCGTCTTCTAAATTTTAATTAGAGATACTTCTCACAAAAGGGACCTTAAAGATCATCCTGTCCCAGCTCCCCCTGCCATAGTCATGGACATCTCCCACTAGACAAGGTTGCTCAAGGCCTTACATGTTCTGGCCTTGAGCACTGCCAGGGATGGGACATCCACCATGTCCATAGGCAACTTGTTCCAGTGCCTCACCACCCTCACAGTAAAGACTTTCTTCTTTAAACTGATATTGTTATGTTCATTGAAGGAGAAGCATCACAGGAGAGTCATTGCTTAAATAAACGGTTTATTTTGTAAAGCCACTTGGTTTGCACAACACCGCAGCAGCGCACACTGGGAGCTGGCAGGGCACCTCACGCCTGAGGCTGTGCAGCTGCAGGGATGCCACTGAGGGCTCACTCCCGCCAGGCACTGCCTGACCTCAAGGGAGCGTTTTTTACAGCGGCCACTTCAACAGGGCCCGCGGGCATGTGTGTGGGAGGCTGAAGGTGTGGATGTTCTGCCACTCCTCGTCCTGCAGCGGCCTCAAGCGAGACAGAGCCCTTCGCCAGAACACAAAATGGCGGCTGCCAGGGCTCAAAATGGCCGCCGCGCAGCCTCCCTCGTGACCCGGCTGGTCCAGGAGCCGCGCGCAGCGCTGTGCGCGGCCGTTCCGGGCCCCTGCTCACGTGACGCATAGCCGGACCAATCGGCGCACGCCGTGGCCGTGCGTGCGCCGCGCCGAGCCCGCCTCGCCGCGTTGTGGTGGAAGGCGCCATTGGAGGCGGGGAGCAGCGCTCGCCGCCGTCGCCGCCGCCATGGACTACGGGGAAGGTGAGGGCGCGCCACCGCTGCAAGGGCAGGGCCTGGCCGCCGCCGCTGCGCCGCTGCGGGGCCCGGCCGCGCTCAAAATGGCAGCGGCCGCTTTGTTACGCGCAGGACGGAGCTCCCCTCACCCCACTCCTCGTCCTCTTCCGCGCCGCGCACTGCCGGGCTGGGGGAAGCTGCGGGGCGGCCGGCGGCGGGAAGGGCTGCGCGGGAGGAGGGCCTCCGGGGAGGGGCGGCGGGCGGCGGGGGGCGCGGGGCGGGGGCGGTGCCCGCGGGGCGAGGCGCCCTGGGGCGCGGGGAGAGCGGGGGCGAGGGGGCGGTGGCGGCGGGCGGGGGGGCGCGGGCAGAGCCGGGGGAGCTTGGGGTGAGCTCTGTGAGGGGGTCGTGTCAGGAGCCTGGAGATCCGACAGGAGAGAGAGCTGCCTCTTGTTGCGGCTCCCTGTCTCTCCCCTCCAGCTCTTGCTAAGCACTAAGTCATTCTCACTGACCCATCCTCTCCAGCTGAAGACAGAGATTGGAGATTCCCAGATACCCCCATGCATTGTGGTGTGAACATGCCCAGTGGGTCAGTCTCAGGTATGAGCTATAAATACGTCTAACCTGTAAAAAGAGTTGGGGCTGAACAGTCAGTGTTGACAAAAACGAAAAACAAACGGGTTGTTAGAAGTGCATAACATGGTTTAAGTGCACATGTTGTTTTCTGGAGGAGTTATAACTGTCTGGGAGTGAGACTCGATTTTCATCTTGGGCATGTCAACATGAACTCCTGCACGTTCCAAATCAAAATTGTGAGATCAAGGAATGGGGATGGGGGTGGGGGTGGGGAAATACAGACTTTTCTTATGATGATGTCTTTTTTGCATAACTATTTTCTTACAAAGTACTGTATTTGATTCTTACTACTTCTGTTGAAAAGAAAGGATATTCCCCTTCTTTTATATAAACATGGAAAAAATCCCAGAACCTGTAACTACTTGAGTTTTATTTATTTACTTTTTTTCATAAAATTTACCTTAACTAACAGTTTGGGAAGGAATATAGGAAGCATATAAAGTAAATGTGAAACACCAAAAGTTAGCTCTTGTTTTTGCACTGTCAAAAGTACCAAACAGATAAAACAAATAGGAATGCACTTATTTTTCTAAGATGATTAAGTTTGTGAGTTTAGTAAGACTCAAGAAATGATTTGACATCTCTTGCTAGCATGCAATCAGGTACTAAAAGGATGTTAATATAAAACCTTTACTGTAAACTGTACCCAAGCTTCATTTACAGATGCTGGCAAATAAGCGCTTGCTGTTGGATCTCTTGGTGCTCTTGCTGGCTGTTGGATGGAAATAACACATCGGATTACAGATGCATCTTTGATTGCAGTATAATCATTTTTGTGATACATTTCTTGAGTCTTAACTTTTTTTTCCCCCAGTGATATTATTTTGCATTTATCTTTCATTATAGTAAAATAAATGAATTAAATCTATGGCCCTGTTTTTTAATTTTCTATATTGATTCTTAATTGAATGTCCTTCTGATTTTTATTATAAAAAGTTATTATTAAGTGGCAGCTTAAATGTCTTATTGGAATATTCACTGTAACCGTTAATCAGAACCTGCTTTTCTGAGATCTAATGACAGTAGTATTAAAGTGAATCCAGGCTCATCCTATGGAAAGTAACTAATCAAATGTGTGTTGTACAGTTAGCATGTTCCTTTTATGTACCTCTGTAATATGAGTTTTCATTATGATAATTAAGCTATTATTTGTATTTATTAAAAAATTTTAATTATGATGTATGTGGTTTGAGACTTTTACAATGACTGTTTATGCACTGTGTGTACATGAGCAAGGCATGCAAAAAGAGTCTTACCCCAGTTCTGCACAGGGAGCTGAAGGCTGTTTTGTGGGGGTCCAGTAGATGGCAACATAGGATGGATGTTGGGAATTCTCATCTTTGTCCAGTTTTCTTTTGAGCTTTTGGCAAGGTTCCTACTGTTGGAAACTTTTAGCCAGTGAGAAGCACTTTTAGTTGGATGTCTGATGACTTCTGTAATTTCACTGTTGTCCCTTGCTGACGACTCTGAGACAGGGTTGACATGCTCTGCAGTATAAATTCTGTAAATATTATTAACAGAAATATTAACTATTCATGTTAATATTTTAGTTATTGCAACTACTGTCCTTCTAATCTAGAAGGGGAAATGGCCTAGTGAGAAGGTTGTGATCCTAATATAGACATAGTGTTATGAAAATGTAATGTGCCTGGAAAAAATACTGCTTCCTATTGCACAGTGGATCCTTAAGGTTGTTGCAGTCATTTTGGATTATGAATTTAAAATATAGTGAAATTTAGCTTCTTAAATTTATTATTTACTGCTGAAAGATCTTTCTCCTTTCTCATTTTCCTAGCCTTTTCATATACTTCACATGGAGAACACTGTTGAAAATGATATCTTCTCTTTTTACTGTAAATATGATTTCAATTTTCTCTGATCTTAACCTTTTTTTTAAATAGAGTCGTTGTGCCAAGAGATTCTGAGTGTTATCTACTATGTCTTTAACTTCTTACTTCTTTTTATAAGGAAATTTTGATTTTTCTTTATTGGCTATTGAGATTTATTTCACAGCTATTTTAAATGATTTCTCTACCAGATATGGCTTCTTTTTTTTTTTTCTTAATTAATCTGAAGGAATACTTGTACATTAATATCTTAATTTGTAAATTAAACTTGTCTTTTAGTGTCCCATTCTTTTTTTTTTTTAGAGGTAATATTTTTTTCACCTTTGACATAACTCTTCTCTCTTGTCTGTATCAGTAGACTTTTAAGTATGATATAGAAACTAAAAACTAGATAGTTCTTCTTGCAAGTTCTATTTCTGTACTTCAGTTCAACACTTCATTCATCTGCACTGTATTTATACAAGAGGCTGCAGATACCAAAACCCAATTTAGTCCTTTAATAAATTCTTTGTTTAAGATACTTTGACAGTGCCTTCATCAGTTCAGAGATTCACTCTATTTTTAAACTTTAGAAGCAAATATGGACCACTGTTTTTTCATATTTTTTATTCATAGATACACAGATATAACATTTCTTCAACAATTTCTTTTATAAACAGTTACTATTTAAAATAAAATGAACTTTTTTCTTTAGTGCTTAAACACATGTTCTCTTAGCATGTGAAGCAATTTCACATTTAGTCTGAATAATTTGCATGGACAGGGAACTTTTGCATATCTCTACTGGTGGTGACTGATTATTATTAAGTTACTATATTCAAAAATTAAAGTCCTTTTAATTTTGGTTCATCTAAGTGAATATTTACTGTCGTCTTGTATGTTTTCTCCCTTTTTAGGGTAAAGCTTATCTGGAGAACAGACTTTCAAAGTAAAGAAAAGTTTAATACCTGAAGAAATACTGTGCTTGTTAATTTGAATGCAGTATCTTTGTCAGGCTCTGGACATGAAGTATAAAATCTAGAAATCTTTGGTGAAGTTTGCAGATGACAGGATGGCTGAACCAGGAGGCCTCTGGTTGGAATAATAGGTTAACTGCTCAGCAGTGTGGAATAGTGCATGAAGTAGTCAGAAGGAGATCACAAGGTCACCTTCATTACATCAGATCAAAGATGTGTCTGTCCCACCTCACCAATATCCCGTATGTCACTGTGTTTGGGGGTGTGGAACAAGTGGTGCAAGTACTCTTTTAGGATGTTTATATGCCTTCACTGGTTTGCAGCTTGGCGACTTTCTGAGCTAGAGACATAGTGTTTGTGTTTGACATACTTTGAATTTCTTGTCAGCTGATTTATCCAATTTCTGTGTTAAATCTATATAAATTTTTAGTAACTTCTTGTTACTCAGTTCCAGTACTTGTATCTATGTTTTGTGAAAAAGGATCTAATTAACTCTTTAGCTTGTTACTTGTAAGTTTCATTTGCTACCTCCAGTTTCTTATAGTAAATCATTCAAGTGATTATTTCTCTTCACGTTTGTACTTTTGTATCCCTGTTAACCATTTTCAAATATGAATATATTATAATGTAGGTAAATGCAGTGCACTGAGTCTGGAAAGGATGAGAAAGTTGTTCGCTGTTAGGGAGGAGGTGGTGATGTCCTAAAGGCAGTGATTTGAGGATTTAGGGACTGGCATAGCTCTACAGCAAGACTGCTGCTGTTATATAACATGGACTGTGGACAAGTAAGGAGAGTGTTGAGCTAATGTGGATGTCAGAAGTGACTGTGGAATGGATTTAAGTATTTGCTTTGATGCTAAACATTTTAGACTAAAAATTTATTTCAAAACTATGCTTCGAACCATTTTTTGGAAGAGTTCTTTGCCTGTGAATGGTTTTGTGTTTTTCCAATACAGAACTTCTGACATATGGACAACACTGGTCCCTACTTTACTACACTGTAGTAGAATTGCATTGCGATGGGAGGGATCTTGACAGAATGTTGTGTTCTTCCTTGTTGGATGATTAGAATCACCTCTGCAACTCAGCCTCATTGGTTTTGTGTCCTCTTAGGGCCTGCTGATAATAGGGAGCAGGTGAAGCTGAGATAAATTATTGGGTGCTTTCAGGTCAGGTATATCAGTTTTCAGAATGTCAGTGATTAGTTATACTGTATTAAAAATACTAACAGCCTGAATCTGAGATTGACCGCGGGATCATCTAAACTTAATTTCTGGGAATCTGAGTTTGTTTTGTTGACTACCTTCCTCTTTTTGCTGGCCTGCATCTTTATGTATATGGTCTTGAGGGTATTGTACTGGATTAGGTGGCAGATCATTCAGTCATGCCAGAGAGGAACATAAGTTGCTTTTATTAGAAGCCTCAGCCATTTCTTTTTGCAGTTCAAGTTGATGATGTGTTGTGCTACATGATTACTATTTTGAAAAGCTTTTTTTGTGCTTTGATTTTTTAATCTTTATTGTACGTTCAGCATATAAAAAGGTGCAGTGTGACTTCCATGTTTAAAGTTGGGTTTTTTCCAGAAGTATCATCTTTTAATTTTTTATGAAGTACCTATGATCATTAGAATAAAAAAAAATCAACAGGAGGTCTTTATTTGTTGGAGTCTTTATTCAGGTATGCTAATAATATCTGTGTAAAACTGATACAGTCAGCTCAATACCATGTGCAGAATTTTTTTGATGACAGACATGAGAAAGTAAGTTAAGAGTGACATGGTGCTAATAAAAAGCAGGTACAAATGGGATATAGTTTAAATAGGTATTTTCAGCACTACAGTTACTTTCATGAAATGATATGCACACAGAATTACTGTGTTTCTTTCAATATGACAATTTCTTATGACTTCAAGTGAGCTAGTTGTCCTGGAAAAGTCAGTGTTTTACATGTGGAGAAATGTATAAAATACTCTCTCTTGTCAGAGTAAATTTATTTTTGTCTTTTCTGTGTTCATTCCATTTTCCTTCTCTGTGTTGCTTTTTGTGTGAGTCTTGACTTGCCAGGTTTTCTTTGTATTATCCAAAAGTTAGTGTTGGTTGGTACTGGGAAACAGTTTTGGCCTCTAGAATGCTAGTGAAGCACAAATTGTGTATGTTCCAGAAAGACAGCGGATCATACTTATTATGCAGATTTGTGACACTGTTTTAGTGCTTTGAATTTATGAGTTTTACTTTTACATAGGACTTCCAGTGCTGAGGAATAAGTTGGGAGAAAATTAATTTGTTTGACTGTAACCTATAATACAGAGTCTGCACTGCAGCAAGACAGCTTGTAACCTTGACCCAAGGTCTCTGTCAGTGTGAGTGAAGGTTTTCTATGGCCTTGGATAGAGAAAACAGATGCCTGTGAGTTGTGTGTATTTTTAAAGGGTCATAAGCGGTCTTAATTCTCCACAAACTTCTGTCATATTCTACATCAGGTGTCTCCATTTAATTCTCTTAATTTAACTTGTGTGGATTCTAGCTGATGGAACAATAATCCTGAGTTACTCGCTACTGGGAAAAAAATACGAACTTGATTCCAATTGTGACGTACTCAGATGATAAGAGACACATAGCTTCTCTAAACACAGTGTCAAAATTGTTTTGCAATTGGCAATTTTGTATTTTGTTTGTAAGCACCATGGCAAAGAGTAAACCTTTTACTTAAGAATTTAAACTAGATTACTTAATAAGACTCCTCACTTGCTTTCTTTATAAACATTTTTCTGCTCTTTTTTTAGACATGGACCGTGATTATGGGCATGGAGGCTATGGTGGCCCACGATCCATGGACTCTTACCTTAACCAATCCTATGGGATGGAGAGTCATGGAGGTGGAGGCGGAGGAGGTGGTGGTGGTGGTAACAGGTAAAATAATCCTTCAGTTGTCCCAAGAATTGATCAAATCCAATTTAGGTTAAAATCATTCTGTCTTCTAACTTAAGTGTTCCTGAGGCATGTTGTTACGATTTTGTACAAACACTTCCGTTCTGAGTCTTCATGTCTGATAAATACTGGCAAATACTAGACTGTAAGAGCTGGATTCTGGTAATAATCAGCATTTTTGTGGAAAAGTTTGACAGTGAAACAATGCGTCTTTGAATGAAAATAGCAAAAGTTCTGTTTTTCAGTAATGACTAGCAACTTGTAGCTGATTGGCCTGTCATACCATATTTGACATAGCGGACTAGACCTGACTGGTTTAGTGCCTTAGACTGAATCTATCAACATTCCGTTTTCAAGGAACATTTAGGGTATGTGTTCTTTGGTTTGAATGTGGAGTGCTCAAATGATCTTGGTATTGAATCTGAAAGTCATGTCCAGATTATTTCATTGGCAGGTACTGATTACACTCGAAACTGTGTGCATGTTCTGGGCTGCTTTTTAAGATGGATTGGTCTAAAACTAAAAATTCTGATGCAGTGGTCTTAAAGTTGTGTATTTCATGCTAGGATTCTATTACTGTTGCTCTTTCAGATAAAAACAGTAGGGAGCAGCTGATTTGATTTAGGTCTTAATATTGTATTCAAAGAAGCATGCTTTTCAGAGTAGTGATCCGATCTTGGAGGGGATAGAAGGAAAAGAAAACTTAGATAATACGATGGTTTTCTTGTGAGCGCCCTTGAATTTTTATCTGGCTGTAGCCAGACTACTGTATGATTCTTGTCTGTAGTCACTGTGGTGCCACTGGAAAAGGACAGTACTAAAATAGGGAGGCTGGAGAAGTATTGTGTTTTGCTTCTTGGTTCTGTTAAACATTTTAGTTAAGTATAATTTGTTCAATAATGAATGTTGAGGCTGACTGAAAATTCTGAGCAGATTCAGGAATGAGTTGTACCTACCATATAGTAATCTGCATATGATTGAGGTCCAATGACTACTTGAACACCAAAATGTCTCTTGCCATGTTATGTTACTATTGTGCATGGTCGTCTTCTAGTGTCATTTTCTGTGTAGCTTTGGGTCTCCTGAGACTAACATATTTTAAAATTAAGGCATTCAGTTTACTATAGATACAGTTAATAAGTTGAGTCTCTCCTAGTTTACATTGTATCAATCAAGGATTGTCTTTCCCAGAGCCTTCTGAATCACCCTGTTATAACCCACCAGGGACACTAATGTGTTTCCCTTCCAAGTGGTTACAAATATTGATGATTTCCAGACTGACACTGCTCCCACCCCAGGCATAACTAAAGATTTCAGCTCCTTGTTACTTTACTCTAAAATTCCAAGGACTGTTTGTGTCCACTGTGCATGCACTGGGTAGACTTCGAAAATCCTGAGTTGCTAGACTTAATGGTCTGCAAGTGAAAGCTGGATATACTGAAGACCGTGAACTCTTTTGACTGGGAGACTGAATTTTACAGGGAAGAAAATTTCCAAAACCTACAAATGTGAATGGAAGAGCACTTGTATTTTTCCTTTAAAATGAGAACTGTGGGGTACTTAAGACTCACAACTGTACCACTAAAAAAACAAAAGATTTTCTTTTTTTCTGAGTTCAGAACTTAGCTGCCTTTTAACTGCTGTTTAACTGTTAGACTGTGAGGGTTTGATTTCGAAGAAAGGAGAGTTTGACTAGCCTATGAATGTCTGCAGGTGATTATTTTTGTGAGACTAGGGCTGGGCTCTAATAATGTTTTAGTAAATACATGTTGCTGAAAATTTTAAGTAAACAAAGTTCAGGTATACTGAACTTTAGAATTGTTTGTAGCAAAAATGGCTCAGATAGCTTTCTGTCTGGTCATAGTGTCAATTGCCCAGCCCTAATCAAGATTAAACAATAACACGACTGTACGGACCAGTATAGTAATAAATTGATTTTAGTTGATAAATGTCAACTGATAACTTGTCTTTTGTAATGTGTAACATTAGTAAGCTTACTTTTTTTTCTCCTCACTGTGCAACTTTTCCAGGTTTGGACCTTATGAGTCTTACGACTCCGGGTCTTCTCTGGGTGGGCGAGATCTGTACAGATCTGGCTATGGTTATAATGAACCCGAACAAAGCCGCTTCGGAGGTAGTTATGGTGGTCGATTTGACAACTCCTACCGGAATAGCCTTGACTCTTTCGGAGGTAGAAACCAGGGCGGGTCTAGCTGGGAAGCACCTTACTCCCGTTCAAAATTGAGGCCTGGGTTTATGGAGGACAGAGGAAGAGAGAGTTACTCTTCCTACAGCAGTTTTTCTTCACCCCATATGAAGCCTGCACCTGTAGGCTCTCGGGGGAGAGGAACGCCTGCTTATCCTGAAAGTGGATTTGGAAGCAGAAACTATGATGCTTTTGGAGGACCATCAACAGGCAGAGGCCGAGGCCGAGGAGTAAGTACAGAATCTTTTCAGATTCTTTTCACTAGACACTCTTTTAAACCCTTTCAAGACCACTGCTTTAAAATGAATGCACTGTTCAGTACAGTGTGGGGGTTTTGTCCAAGCAAACTATCATGGTTGACAATGTTGTTTATCCCTTTGAAGCTGTCTTCAAGTAGAACCCAGTCGCTCTTTCTAGAAGACTAGTTGATAAGGTTTGTTAAATCTCTCCTTTTGCTTGAAAGGTGAAGATAAAAGTAGTAGGTTTGGTCTAAAAGGGATTAAAAGGACTTTCATTTTTCCTTGTAAACACTAGCATCTCTGATGCTGGTGGGGAAATTCTCGAATATTGTAAAAGTTGAATTCAAAGTCTTTTGAAGTTTTGAGTAGGTTAAAGGTGCAATGTATAAGCAAAAAATAAAACCCAGGTTGTGAATGCTAGGGTAGTTTTTGTTTTCTGTAAAGGCCAAAGTTTAGCTAATACTTTAGTGTGTTGAATACATGTTTTATTAAACATCAAGTCTTCTTTTAAACTTAACTCTTGCTCTGACTTGTATATTGGAAGGGTGATGGGGAGAAAATGGCAAAGGTGAGTGGTTAGCAGTTACAGTGATTCTTTCTCAAAATTAAAGCGTGGTTAAAGGGACATCATCAATTTGAAATCAGGTCCTTTCACAGAATTGAAATCAGTCTCCACATAGTGTGCCTAGTCCTATTATTTGTATTAATTTGATTTGAAGATTTATGTTATAGCTCCTTTTCAGTGGATTCCGTTCCAGTGTAGGATGTAAAAACTGTGTCCAAGGAACAGCATGATTAACTGTATGCAAAACAGTGGATCGCAGTTTGAAGAAGTAATGCTTGATGTTAAGTGAGTTGGGGGGGAAAAAACCACAATAGAAGAGAATAAAAAACCTCACCAACCTGACAGAAGTACTGACTTTAAGTTGATGGTGTCCCTTTGTCTTGGTTTTATAATACCAGTTCTGGCTGTTTTTTAAAGTACGAAGAGTTCAGTGAACACTTTTCTGCCTGTGCCTGTAGGTGTAACTTATCTTTTAAAATTTCTAAGCGTGCTATATTTCTTTGGGAAGTGATTCTTTAATTTTAAACCATACAACTTATTGTAGTTTGAAGCTTAGAGGAAGATTGTTTTTTTACTGGGTCTTTTAAATGCCTATTTGCGTGGTGGTTTTGTTCCAGAACGTCTACTTTGCAGCATCCTTGAGTATTGTAGTTGTCATATTCAAATTTTAGCTCAGATTTGCACATGGCTGTTAGGTAACATGTAGCATGGTATGAGAAATAGATTCTAATCTTTGTTTCTCTACTTGTGACGCTGAAAGTGTTATGTTCTTAAGCCTCAGTTCCATCCTTTCAGAATTTATTTAGATCTGAAAGCTTTGTGCAGTTACAACTGAGTTCTTTTTTACTTTGCTTTTGAAATTTATCCTTTTAGTCTTTTGTGTAATAAAGGAAAATGTAAGGGCTAAACTACTTACCATATGTAAAATGCATTGCACCTTTAATAGGTAGATTGTCTGTTTAAAAAAAACCTGAACTTGAAATGATCCAAGTGCGTACTTCATGTCAAATTGATGTGACCAGTGTAAATGTACATGCTAGGTAGTTTATAGCTATCTCAACTAAATAAGTTAACATGGAGATCTTGTGCATGGACTTCTGATAAAGAAAAGTGCTGGCTTTGGTACATTCTATCTGTCATTTAAAATTTGCTTTAAAAAAGTCATACTTTTCACAAGTATTTTGAAGTCACTTTTAATGTTCTTTTGACAGTGTAATATTAATTATCTTCTCATGGAAATACAAATATTTCTGCTTATCCAAGTCACCCATCCAGTCAGTGGGCTTTCTTCTGTCCTTTATTAATCAAATAATTGAGTTAATATTAAGAAATATGTTAGCACTTTTTAAAATTTCCCTCTTCAGATTACTCGTTTATTCCATGTCTTCAGAGAGGTAACTTTCATATACAAGTGTCCACAAATGAGTGTACATAATTTTAGAAATATTAGAAAGGTTTAGTCTTTCAGCTGAATTTTCATTCCTATTGGTGCCATGTTTTTGTGTCACTCTCTCCAGGCCCAACTTAAAAATTTTGATTTTATTGAATTCAGTGGAAAGATAAGTAAAAGAAAGAATGATCTTCTTTCAGTTAATCTCTTTTCCACACTGTACAACCTTCTTTACTCAGTTTTCAAATAACTGATATATCATTTGGCATAAGATGCAGAGCAAAGAAGCTTTTTTTCCTTTTTAGTGTTGAAAACTGAGTCGTTTAGCTCTGGTTTTTTCCAGAGGGAGATGTCTTTCATCATCTAGAGAATCTGAAGAGAGTAACCAAGATAGTAGGCAGAGATATGAACTTTGATAGATATGTTCATTGCCTGGACAATGGTTCTGAATAAGCAGAAACGCAGTTTATACAGACATATTCGTTCTACTGGACAAACACCCACAAAGCCATTGCACAACAGAACATCAGACCAGGAGCTTAAGTTTCTCCTGCATTTTGGTGTAGAACGCAGATTTTACTTACATTCACAGTTGTGTTGTACCAAGTAGTTGTTTTATTTATATTGATTTCATATACTAATACCTTCCTCTTGATTTTGCAAATTTTCAGCATATGGGAGACTTTGGAGGAATGCACAGACCTGGGATTGTCGTTGACTATCATAACAAACCCAGTCCTGCAGCAGTTGCTGCAAGAGGAATAAAAAGAAAAATGATACCACAGCAGTATAACAAACCTGGTGGGACTTTCATCAAGAAACCCAAAATGACAAAACCTGTTTTGAAGCTGAGCCAGAAAAAATCGCCTAGTAAGTAATAAGTGCCAGAATTCTTAAATTTAGATTACTAATGTTTTTATTCATTAGAAATGACTTAGCTTTAATATTCAGAAAGAGGGCTGTAGGTGCTGTTTTGTAATTCTTTATTTTCCACCTTTAAAGTAGTCCACAACAGATTCTGTGAATATACTCATCTAACTTTTCTACTGCAACAGTAATTTGCTGAATGACATTGAATATTTTGATGTGTTCAGATATGTACTGTTGAAGACTGTCTCATTGAGACTTCATAATGATACTTCCTGGAGGCAAATTTTCACCACTGAAAATAATTTCAGGTCTCTGAAATTTCAGGTTGTCTTAAGTGACAATGCCTGACAGATATTAAAATGTGCTCTTGCATGAGCCTGGGCGCCACTGTCCAAATTCTTTGGATATTAAAAGTAGTGCATCAGCTGCAATAAAGACTTAAGGCATGGGTCAAGAGGAGGGGGAAAGGGAGACAAACTGAGAAAACACTGAACATTGTTATAGAATAATTTATGAAAGGCAGAAAGAGTTTGCTCCCACTTGCAAATGAAATGCTGTAATGACAAGAAGAACTCTTAAATGTGATAGACAAACTGTAAATATAAATTTCAAATTGTATTAGTGATGCTTGGTTTCTTCCATAAAGATGTCCTACAACTCTAATAACTTTGATATTGCAGGCAGAGTTGGAGAAAAAAGTCACTAATGAGGTTTGAATAAATTACTTGCTTTGAGGGAATGTAAACTTGAGTATTAAATATTATGATCCGTGCGTACAGCGGTCAGATTTTATTTTTTTGTGCTTGTAATTTCCTAGTAATTTGGATCTACAGTGTTTTATATAGCTTGGTTTCAGATCACATCTGAAAATAGCTTAAAGTTACTGTAGCTCACAGCTGGCAAGGTAAATGCACAGACTTGACAGAAACTTCCATGTGTAAATTTTATTTTTGATTTTGTAGTTCTGGATATATTACTGTTTATTACAAAACTGTTCCCTTAACTGTAACTTCAAGAATACTGTACAGATTTCAGGCACTGGGTGTATAGAACGTATTTCTCTGCCTTTTGTATAGGTAATGTTATTGGTGGTCTTATTAGTTTTGTTATGATTAAATGTAGAATATGCATCTGAGTTCTTCCAGTACTTTTGTACATTCTCCTTTTCTAAGATGTGTTCAGACAGAACACTTCTAGTTTATTATCTGATCCCCTTCACTGATTTCCACAATCCGAGGACCAATATACTACATAATATTGAAGTTACTTTAAGAAGTAGAACAGATAGCACCTGCTAGAATGCAGGCTCTGAGATTAGGGGGAAGAAACTGTTGAGTGGTTAACACAGTTTCTGAAACTTGAACTGAAAGATGCCCTAAACTGTATCATGTAGTTGAAAACTAAAAAACAGGTGGCAACTAACAGAAGATATGATGCAATTGGTATACAATGTATGTATGAAAATATATCTCAAAATTATATTGTCCTTTCAGTCTTAATTTTCTTTTTTGGAGTTAAATATAGGTGACTGCTTCTAAAAGTGTTTAATTTATATTTCTAAGGATAATTGATTTTACGTTTAGTAGTATTATTAAACTATGATAAATTGTAAATGTAGACCATCCTACATGCATAACAAGGATTATGGTTTTTTTCCTAAATATCTTATTGTCTTAAAATGAATTGGCAGTGACAGCGCTTTTGAATTCTTTCTCATTTTATGTTAATAGACATGAAGACGTCTTTCCAGGATTCTACTATAGAGGTAAAGATTCTCAGAATTGAAAAATGTTTGTGATCCTTTGAGAACTTTGCATAGTATGCCTTAAGGCAAATAATTGCTAAGCGACAGTTATGAAGTTGAACATTAAATTATATAAGCTTTTCTAAACAGGTTTTTTTTTCTTCACTTTGTCTAAAATTGTCTTATTTTGATGCCAGTCTGAAAGCCTTACTGATTTCGAGTGACAAGATACAGCTAGTGCAGATAACCTGGAAAATAAATTTTCAAGTGTATTTTTAGACCCTCCCTATTCTCATAATGCACAGAGAAGCTCTCATTTGAATGCTTCTCAGGTTGCCACAGGTAGACAGCTTGAACTCATACACCTGTGATCTGCCTGGGTGGGTTGAGAAATTAAATACGAAGGAGATTGCTAAACAGAAGTGAGGAGGAATGGATAAGACATAAGACACATCAAGGAGAGAGGGTAAATAAAAGAAGAACCAGTGTTAAAAGTTGTTCTCTGACAGGGTACAAAGGTTAGTCTCCACTACAGTTGCAACACTGTATAAGAATGTGTTAGAAAGCTAAGCATGTGTGTGTGTGTGTGTATACAGATATATATCTCCTGGTTTAATGTTGAAATACTGGAATGGTGTTTTCCTTCTTTCTGAGTGGAGGTATTAACACGTTCTCAACTAAGTAGAAGTCTGGATTGGAAGTCAGAATACTTATGTAGAAGACAATTTTGACTGTGAAATGAATTCACTAAGGCTATAAGGCATTAAGGAGAAATGCAGAGCTAGAGGTTTTTGTTCATCGAGTCCAAGAAGATACTCAATTCACTTTCTTTCGTTACCATGTTTGATAGAAATAGCAAGTAATAGATTATTGAAAATTAAGTAATTTATGCTACCTTTCTGGATTTAGAGTGACATTGTTTTGCGGGGTGTTTTTGTTTTGGTTTTTTTTAATTTATGGATTTGACTTTATTAGGAAATTGAAGTTGATACAAGTGGTGCAGTCGTTATATATGAAGACTTTACAAGAGATGCTTATGATCTTGGATATCAGACTTTTGGAGGTAAGTCAGTTTACTTTGTCAGGTAAGGTATTGTAGGTATAGTATTTGTAAGTCTTTGAGTGAATAGATATAGTAAGCCTGTATGTATGATCTCTTATAGTTATTCAGTAGCATGACTATTTCTGTTTGTTTGTTTTTTAAGCATTTATAAATTTAGGCTGTGGAAAAGATGATTGTTTCTATCATCCATCCATCACTTGGTTTTTCTCATGCTTACTGTTTATGCTCTCTGATCATCTCTGTATGTTGTTGTTTGACTTGTTTTAATTTTTGTGAAACTAGTGTAAATGGTCTTATACTTAACTACCATTCTGTTGCTTGAATGTTGTTAATCCCACTGGTTCCTCACCCATATCCTATTATTTATCCCACTAGCTGATCAACCTCACCCTTAAACCCTAGGTGAGTCACTTTTATAAAAGTGGATTCAGTTAACTCAGAGAGCTGCTGTTAAGAATGTGGGATCTGTTTCATGTACAGTCTTAATGAAACAGGTTTATTATTAGTTTACATAAAATCAGTTAAGTGTATATTAACTGTGGTAATTTCAGACACATACATAAAGAAATCCAGTGTTAAGGCTGAAACTCTTTTTAGCCTCCTTTTCCTTGTGTACGCTGTCCCGTTGCATATACAGTCTAATCTGGTAGTAAGGAGTGCTGGAAATTTGCAGCCAGGTGATGAGTGTTTCTTTTCTTGAAATAATAGTAAATATTTTTTAGTTTATTTTTAAATTGTACAGATTTTCTTTCTTTTTAAAACTTTGCATAAGCAAAGTTTCAGAAAGTGGGAATCTTAGTTTATATGTAGATTCAGGCTTCCATTCCTCAGCTTCTAACAGGACAGGCACTTGAATTTGGAAGTTTGAGGGAGAAGATAGAGGCCATTTCACTCCACAGAATGTCATACCAGATGATTTTTACAGCAGTGAAACAAGTGACCATTTGCACATTTCCAGGGTTGGTGGTAGGGCATGAAGTGAAATTCAAATCCTGAGATCAGTATGGGAATTGCCTCTGGGAGTGGGTGGTTGTTTGTTGTTTTGAATTTGAATTTTTAATTTTATGGATGGAGTTTTTGCCATCTCTGGATCACAGTACATTTTGAAACTCTTCACTACAGAATGAAAAACCTTGGGATAATTAGGAGTGAAGTGTAAGCTGTTAGTCAGTGAAAATGTTTTCAGTACTCAGTGACACTTGTACAGCCACAGTGTGTTTTGCAAGTCTTGGTGTTTTCTGCATTATGCTGCTGTATGTTCCTTTCCGTTGCTGGTTGGATGGAGGTAGATTTCCTGGAGGCTGACCTCTGTTCTAAGGTTGAACTGCAAAAGAGAGCAAAGTGTTCCTCTTTTTCTTGCTCTAAACCTACTCACCGAATAATACTCTGTTTCCATTTGTCCGTGGAGTTTTAAAGCAGACATAGGAAAGGCAAACACAAGTGCACTTATGCAGAAAGTCAGTGTCCTTGGAAGTCTTTAATGTTGCAAAACTAATTTCTGTTCATTTATTTGTTCACACTTACATGCCAGGTGGTAATTCAATCAGGTTCTCTGAAGGTTTGGTTGGGTTTTTTGTTGTGTGGTGAGTCTGTCTGTCCTTGTCTATCCCGCCCTGCCTCATTAACTGATTTGTTTCTTTAGCTGAAAATCTTTGGAATGTTTTTCTGTGAAATAAGTGAAGTCTAGTGGGGAAGAATGATAAAGTTGTTGGAGTTCATTTTTGGTACTGTATGTTGGAGATACACTGTCTTTTCTCCTTTATGAGAACTTTTGCTTTTGGTTTTGTAAACTGCCTTCTCGGCAGAAGAGTCTGTTATATAGTTTCTTTTTATGTAAGGGGATTGTAGCAATGGTTCTCTCAAAACATGGGAGAGTTTTAAATAATGTGTTTCTCCCTGTGTTCCAGCAGTCACCCTTTCCTAGTCACTTGAAGAGGCCTCTAATAACTAGGCACAACAAGGAAGGGTTTGTTCTAACTCTGAATTTCCTTACTTTTATGACTGTAACCCAGAATGTAAACCCTTAGCTACTTAGTGGACATTGCTGAAAGCAAATGTTTAACTTGGTTGTCTTTAGAGGAGGAAAACACAGTAAAATTTCAGGACATTTAAGTGAACCATGTCAGTGTATAATCTTTCTCTGCATTTTGAGGTGTTTGTGGAGGAGACAAGGTAGACAGATACTTTTACTGTTGTTGTTTATTTGGTTTGGGTTTGTTTATTAATCTTTGTATTGCATGTTAAGATGGCAAAGGAGGAGAAGGTAAAAGTGAGGAAGAAGAAAAGCGGCGAATCGAGGCCAGAAGAGAGAAGCAAAGGCGTAGAAGGGAAAAAAACAGTGAAAAATATGGTGATGGATACAGGTTTGTGCTGTAACTTCTATGTCGTGTGCAGTGTTTTACTTCTTTATGCCTCATATTCTTTCCTGAAAGCCCTTTTGGACTGATATAGGAAAATAAAATGCAACAAAGAAACGAGGAAAAAAAACCCCACCTCCTTCCACCCCCTAGCTTCCCCCACTCCCCAACAAAACGAAAAATCTAACCCAAATAAGGAAAAAAAACCCCTCAAGCCAAGACTTGGCACCCAAATTCATTTCATGGGACCACTGTTGTATCAGAAAATGCACAATTTACTCACTCCTTCTCCCTCAGAAGTGCACACTTGAGAAGTAGCTTAGAATGGTATTCCTTTTGAAGTATTTGTTCATACTGACTTAAGAAGCTGTCAGAAGTTGACTTTATTCTGGTTTTATGTGTGTGTATAAATATATATATGTATATATGGTCAACTGTTTTGTGGCAAAAATAAGTACATAGTTTTGTAACTTTTCTTAATTTTGCCTCAGCCCAGTGGGCTACACTGTACAAAATGTTCCATGTCAGTGCTGTATATATCATAACATTACTGTCTTTTTCTCATTGTACTGAGGAGGTTTTATTTTTTTATAAAGATTATGTAGTTTTTGTATGGAAAATGAGCTTTAAATGAATTCTTCTTACTACTTGTAATTAGGAAACCATGGCCTGACTGGACTATGATTCTTTGCCTGTGAGAAGTATTACAAAAGGTGACATGAACTAGAGAGCTGTGATAGACAGACCCACAGAATAATGTGGCTTTTAAATGCCTGGCTTCTGATTTCAGCAGTTTTTATCTTCTGCATAGATAATTAATTGCTCTGGCGCTGGCCTGATTTATATTTGATTCTTATAGCACTTATCCTTTATTATGGAAAAATACAAGATTTTTTCTTTTCTTTTTCTCTGAAAAAAGTGTCAAGTCCACATAGTGTTGGATGAGTTTTACTTTTAATAGTAATATTTAATGTATTTCTCTTAATAGAATGGCATTTACTTGCTCATTTTGCAAGTTTCGAACGTTTGAAGAAAAAGAAATTGAGGCACATCTGGAGAGTGCAGCTCACCAGGAGACACTGGATCATATCCAGAAGCAAACCAAGTTTGACAAAGTAGTGATGGAATTTCTTCATGTAAGACAGCTGTTTTTGATCTATATAATACTTCTGTATGAGAATATAGTTACAATTTACCATGCATTTCCAAAATATGCTTAACTTATCATTGTTACTCCTTTTGCAGATGACTCTTGTCGCAGCACATATTACTAAAAGTTGAAGCGAATTCAGAGTCCATGAAATACTGTTACTTTTACAGTAAAAAGTGAAAGTAGTGCCTTAAGAAGTGACAGCAATTAATTGCTGTTTGTTACAGAGCTCTTCTGAATTCCTATTGGAATATTGACAGTTGTAGATCAGATGTCTTACAGTTTCTTCTTGTGATCCTCTGCAGGAGTGTATGGTGAATAAATTCAAGAAGACAGCTATGCGTAAGCAGCAGACAAGTAACCAAACGGAAAATGCTCAGGCTGCTGAAAAAGATATAATGGAAGGTGAGCGATGTGCTTTATGTGAAAATGCATACTGTGGGGCTCTCCTTGTCTTTTTATCCTTTCATTTGTCTTCAAATTTAATTAAATGGATTAAAATAGTCAGTTTTCCCACCTTTTCTGTACCTGGTTGGGATACCTTTCTTTATTTCTGACACAATGTGGAATGTAAGCACAGCAAGCGATAGCAAACCTTATTTATGTTTGCTATCCAGGTAGCCTTGTCAGAAGGTGTGATAACATTGTGTTAGGTACTTGACAAACATAATTATGTGGGCTTTGCCACAGTCTTATTCGGTATAAGGCAAGAGGAGTCACAACAGGTGGTTGCAGGCAGATTGAAAGAGTGTAATAAAGCAGTAAGGTGATAATGGTCAAATATGATGGCAAGGGTTTGGATAATGTAAATAGGAGAGTTGCTGTGGTTTTGAGGAACAGTGCAAAAGTTTGAGCACTTTCTTGGCTACCCAAGATGCGTCTCAGCCTGAGTATTTTTCCCATTGGCTGCCGTACAGGCAGTTTTCTAGAGCATTTCATGCGTGCCCACCTTGCTGTACCATATTCTCCCACCCTGTTCTTTTCTTGAGGGTTTTGAAAATATGTGCTAGAGCCAGAGGAGACATCTTTTGAGTGCTGTTATTTTAAACAATAACTTTATTTGAATGCTACTTTAATTTAAATTTAAATACTAAAGGCTATTTTAAAATGGATATAGCCAGCATCCTAACAATCTCACAAATTCTTCTTGTGTACTTTCCTTGAGTACTGGAGGGCCTGTTTGCCTTTGTGAAGAGAATGTTTGTTTTATTAGCAAGCTAATATGTAAAAGTGCAAGAGGAATTGGGTTCATGTGCTTCTTCCTGATGGTGAAGGGAGGCAAGGAAATAAATTAGTTGTTCTTATAAGAGGTAAAGTAAATGCAACTGCTTTGGTCAAACTTTGTTTGTTTGTTATATCAAAATGTGTATTGTTAAGGATATTAGCTATTGTTGATTTTAAATAGATGGCCTTTCTGTACATTGCCTGGATCTCACGTATAGTCTGTGGAGAAGTGGAGTTGGAGAATTTGAGTGGAAAACTTCCTCCTTCAGTATTGCCCTTAGGGAGCCCCTGTGGTTCAGTTTCACATGTTTAACAACTGAGAGCTCTAATTTTTGAGTATAAAATAAATAATCCACTTTTCCACTTGCCTAGAGTAACACATTTTGTGTTAATGATCTGTTGCATCTTCTTTGGCAGGGGTTACCGCTGATGACCATATGATGAAAGTTGAGACTGTTCACTGCAGTGCTTGCAGTGTGTACGTTCCTGCATTGCACAGTTCTGTTCAGCAACACTTAAAATCTCCTGATCACATAAAAGGAAAACAAGTAAGATATGACATTATTAAGAACAAAAGGGCTAGCATAATCTAATAGTAGGTGAAAAGTGTTTGGTTCTTGGTACAAGTAATTTCTAAGTTCTCACTGATGCGACTTATCCTCTTGAAAGCTGGAATGTCCTTATTTCACTTTGTAAGCATGAGATCTCATGAAGTAGCCAGTGCTTAGGATCCCTCGGTTAATGAAATGTTGGTGTGCTTAAGAGCTGACAGTAGCAAGTCATGGAAAAGTTACTAGGAATGACTTTTTTATTTTATGGGAATTTGTTTTACTGAGCTTAACTGTTGGAAAAATTATTAAATTGCAAAACATAATACATGTGTTTCTAGTAAGATGACAAACATGGTGCCTCTTTTTTTCTTGTGTGTTATCTTTTTAATTTGAAGAAAAGTGAGACCAGGTTAGAACTAGCAGTAGTGTGGTATTTGTTGCTGTTATAATTTATAATGATATACTTTTAAGACTGGTAGTAGGGCTGAAAGAGAAGCATGAACATCATAGTAAGCAAGATTGCCAAAGTAATGTTTTGTTTATATATGAGCTTCTGTGATTGTGGAGTATCATAGAACGTGTTGGGTTGGAAGGGACCCTGCAAATAAGCAGGGTCGTCTTCAACAGTGTGATGGAAAAGCCTGTGTGTTGTCTGTAGATGAGAACAGGTAACTCTGGTTGCAGTTCATTATTTATCAAGATATGAGAATATATTTTGGTCAAGCTAAAGCAACAAACTATAAACACTACTAAACTTAATTGAACTTATTATGTAATTTGGACGTAAGTGCTAAGAACAAACAGATCATGCTGCAATATGTTCATTATTTTACTTATAGAAACTGACCGTGGATTCAAATTTATGTGGCAATTGTAAGAGGTATGTGATAATTATTCACTGTAAAATTTGTTTCCTAGGCCTACAGAGAACAAATAAAAAGGGAGAGTGTTCTCACTGCCACCAGTATATTGAATAATCCTATAGTCAAGGCACGATATGAGCTGTATGTGAAGGTAAGATGCAAATGGAAAGAAAGTAATTTGTAATGTTTGCTATGCCACCATTTTCTCCACGTTGATGGAGTTTAACCTCTGTGCTCTGTTAGGTAGCTCACAGATTGATTATGCTTTTAATGTACTCTGCTGGTCTAAAATCATTGTCTTGGATAAATTTATTTGCAGCAAAAATTACCACCTTCAGATTTACCAGCTTTTGGTTGTTATTTAGCACTTATTTGTATTTTAATTTTTAATTAGATGCTCCTAGAAAGGAAAGTCAACCTTTAGGAAAGCATCAGCAGTGTCTTTATTCATAATGCTAACTGTAGAGCACAAATGACTTTACAATTGAGTCCGTCTTTACATTTAGAAGCAAGAGTTCCATCATGTGGCTTTGTACTGAAGTGTAACACCCACAAGACTCAGCTACTTTTTATTCCATAGAATTTCTAGGGTTGATGGCAGCATACAAAAATGAAAGCTTACAACAGTAGTTGATGAGATCAGAGAATTCAAAAGGCATGGCAGCTTGTGTTGCAGATACATGGCCTGAGAAACAGGTAAATTCATTTTAGCAAAATACAGGGTTTTTTCTACTGGGCCACTTTGCTAAATGACTCTTTCTGTAGTACTGTTGTTAGCTGTTTCTGGTATTACTTTTAATTGATTTATGATTTTGCCTTTGCCAAACAATAGACTCTTTAAGACAAAGCAATACTTTCTTGAGTAAATATGGCAAGGTATGAGCCAGTGCCCAAGTTAATTGTGATTTAAAATGTCAGATTAGCTGTGTGCTGCAAAATTATGTAGGGATGAGCATGTGAATCAGTTTCAGACAACTGTTCTGTATCTGTTATGAGAAGGTTGGAAATGTCCAAATACCAGAGCCTGGAGTATCTGTCTGTATTTCCAGCCACCTCTTCTGGTGTTCCTTGTGCCTGGCATGTGTTGTCCCATACAGCCCCCTAGTGGGAGACTGGTAGAAGGGAGAATGGAAATTTGCCATTCATCAGGTCGACAGGGGGCAATCAAAATTACCTAAACAGAATTTTTCACAGGAAACCACAACGGGGCAAGGTGGGTCTCAAATACTAGTTGTGGTAAAGAGTTGGATGACTACTAGTCTCAGCAGGGTGTAGTTCTAGCAGGAAGTACTAGTCTTAACAGAAAATGAGCTTTTCCTAATTCAACTCTAATTGAGATATGTACCTCTTCCAGGGCACACATTAAAAGAACAAACTTCCCAATATGCACAGAGAAACCAAGCTGTGTAATAAGAAAGAAAAAAATCTTTTATCTTTTCTGCTAGTGTTAAAATGTATCAATAGGGATACATAAACCTCAGGAGTTGCTGACCTGAAATTTTGTTCTACTTCTGTCAAAGGCATTTGTGATACTAATGAGCCGCTTTTGCCACTTGGTACAAAACTAGGCAGCTTTGCAGGTCTTGCCCGCTCTGAATTTTCTCCCTCCTCACTGCATATGCAGAGTAAACAACACTTTGCAAAAGAATGTTGAGTTTGGGGATTTTTGTTTGGTTTTGTTTGAGTTTTGGGCTTTTTTGGTTGGAGGGTGGGGAGAAGTGTTTCCCCATACAGTCTGCCCTACATCTAAAACAAGCTGTTTTCAGCGGTTAACAAGGATTTCCTGGAAGATGGCAGGCTCCAAATGCGTGTGTGCTCTGCTCCATCACGTGCTGTATAATAAAACTGCACTCTGCGGTTGATTATACATTTGGATAAGGATGAAAGGGATTTGCATAACCAGAAACCAGATACATCTTACTGAGCAGGTCCTGGTGAAAGTGTATTCAACCCATCCCAGAAAATGCCAGTGCTAACCATTCTGAAAATGTCAGTGGTCTCCTTGTGAAGACAGTCTTGCAAGTTTTATCTTCCTCAGTTTTCTAACATGTCTTCTAATGCTTCTTCTCTTCTCTGTGCTGCTGCTTTGGTGCTGGTGTCTGCCTTGTTGGAAATTTGTCAATATATTCAGTTTCCAGAAAACTACTGTACCAGCACTGAGGTTTCCAGCAGTCAAAACTTGCATGAGATCTTTATGATCCTATTGGTTCTGGTGGCCATCTTTTGCACTATCTATTACATGATTTTTTTCAATTTCTGTATTTGAAAGTCCAATTCAGTGCTTAGTTTAACAGTGTATTGTTTGCATCCTGTTGTTTACGTGCAAGGAACTTTTTAATTTCTTGTTTGATATTTTCATCATAGATACTTTAATCAAAGAACCTTGAAAGGATTGTTTTTTACCTTGGGCAACCTTTTGAAGAGCCCTGTTTCCCTGGTGCTGTTTTTGTGTGGTACCCCTTTATGCTTCCAATATACTCTTTGTGTGCTTTTTTTAAAGATTTTCACTTCTCCTTGTTCTTCTGCATCCATAATGTGAAGGGGAGAAATCCACCATGACCCACTTTCTGGCCACTCTGAAACAATCCTCTTAAAAGTTTGTGAATGTGTAGTAAGTCCCTTTATAATAAGGAGGAAAAAAAGACCATCTTGTTTCTCCGGGCAAAAAGTTATCGCTTGGTGAAGTCATGACTATCTAATTTTGGCCCATTTAGAATTTCCTAGACAGAACGATGTCTATGATTAAAAGCTGCTTGGATGTTACACAAGAGAACCATTATAGAGTTTGACATTTTTTATCACTATGTCCCAGGACTGTTTGATCACAGTGAAGGCATTTTAATGTTTACTGGTTAGGTGGACAGACTTCGGTATCTTTTTGGATCAGGTTGGAGAGACCTCTGGTAAATAGATTGGTTTCTGGGGACATGGGAATCCCAAAACTTTGGTTGTAGATGCCAGTTCATAGTCTTAAGCTTTCTGTGCAATTTAAATATGCTAGAGACAAGAAACCCCAAAAATACATCTCTTGGGACTAAACTACTTACTGGTGTATTTTGTACTTTCAATGCATCATAAAGTCTTTCTGCAGCAGTTTAGTACTGTGCCTGTGTTCTTGTTTTCTGGGGGGTTTTTGTGCCTTTTTTTTTTTTTTAAGCTATCTGGGACCAGTGTGACTGTCAAAATCAACTAGCATTAGAATTGGCTCTGCATGCTGTGCTGGATGCCTCTAATGCTACATCACTGGAAAAGAGTGTAGTCATTAGGATCTTCCCCTTGATGGCAGTAACTTTTTCCTTAGCTTGAGAACTCGAAAAGTGCATTTTTCTCTAAAAAAACAGTTGGAGAAGGCAACTTTGTTGTCGTTGTTACTATTGTGTAGAGATCTGTTCAACCGGAAGTAGTGTGCTAAATCCAGTTCTGCTAGGCTAGCCAGCAGCAATGTACAGTCTCCGCAGGAAGGAAGTGTAACAGTTTTCTGTAGCTTGTCCCCAGTAGACAGGGACAGTCAGAAGTTGTCTGCAGGAGTGAGGAAGTAGTCCTTTCAGAGTGCATTCTTTAGCTACCATTTGTCATTATGCCTAACCTAGACATAAGAGGATTTAAATCTTTACTTTTGTATCAGACCTGTTAAAGGGCTTCCAGTATCCTTGTGAGTCATTTACAGAGAAAGGCCACCTTTTTTCTTTTTTGAGGAAACAATACTCTCTGTTAGGACATATGAAACTCTTAATACACCTTTTTTCTCTCTGTAAGGTCTCCCGGTAAGCATGTATTTGAAGCTAACTAGGTGAAGTATTCTTAACTCAGTAATTTAGCTTTTGTCCAAAAAGGAAGGTAGATGAATGCAATTCTGGAGAGTTGCACTAATCCTCATTGAGTTAAGGTTTGGATCCTCAGTCTTTTTGTTTCACAATGCTTTCCATAGATGTTGGAATTAAATTCATTTGGGCACTTGCTTTGCTGTATGTTTTTTTTTTTCATGAAACAATGTCCTGAGCCAGTATTTTTGGTATTTCAGTGTTGGGCACTGTTACCTGAAGTAGTGTGAAATACCCCTTGGTGTTCATAGCCCAGTGGTGCTTGTCAGTAGTAGTGGATCATCTAAAAGTGGTGTGAGCTTTACCTGAGGGTTTGGTTTGTTGTTTTTCTGTAGGGCTCAGGTAAATTCTGCTATCTGATACAGCTTTCTACGTACTTGACCATTATGTATGAGCATCTAATTTCAAAAAAGCCAAACTTGGTATCTTGAAGTTTAAATGCTACCTTATTCTTGAAGTTTAAATGTTACCATTTATATGTGGAAACTATGTCTTTGTTTATGCTACGCGTTGATTGGGCTCAACAGACATTACTATCTGAATATTCTAGGCTGGCCATTACAAAGTGCATGCATAGAATTATCCAGGGACTTGGAATAACATGGTCTCAAAGAATTCGGCTTTCATTGGGTTAAATCTGAATTTCAATCTGAATTTAGGATTTGTCTTGATTTTTAGAATAACACTGAAACCAAGCTTTTGTTTAGTGGCATTTGCTGAATATTTTTATAGTTTTTTTAATTTTTCAGTGGCCACCTGAAAGATTCTGCCTTAAAAATGTAACTGAAGTGAAAAAAAAAAAAAAGGAAAAGGGGCCTAGCCCCAAATTTTCTTTTGTATCTTCTAAATGATACTCTTAAAATCCTAGTCTTGGTGCAATTAGTGGTTGCTGTGGTATGTTAAGATCAGACTTGCTCTGTCATGTTTGAATATGAAAGGAACTTTAGCCAAGAAACTCCTAATGCTTTTTATTGTTATTCTTCATTGTTTATCGATTATTCATAGTTCTTAAACATCTGAAACAAGTGAAAGCTGAGGTATGTCTTGTGCTGAATGAAATGAAGAAAATGTGAATCTAGAATGCCAGTGTATTTGAGGTACTGAGAAAACTATTTGATAATCTTTGTAGATCAACAATGGAATAAAGTTCAGGCTACTCAATGTAATTATTTCTGGGTTTCATTTACTGAAGAGTTTGTCTTTTTTGATAGAATTATTCAGAGTGAATAGAGACTGTACATAAGGCAAAGCAGAACAAAACTGTTCAGTTCCAATTTGGTTGTAATTGGGGAGAAGAAGGTAGCAGCTGTAGTTCCTAGTAAAAGCATTTTGAAATTTAACCATGTAATTTTAATTTCTGAAAGTGGAAGTTAAACTGGCGTGCTTTGGCTTTTTCTCAATGCTATTTCTACATGCATTAAAAGATTTTATTGGGATCCCAGTTTCCTATGTGCCTAAAAATGTGGTATTGCTAATTTTAAATCAAGCCTCTTGATTTTCTTGCTAAAAACCCCAACTATTAAAAACCTGTATAAAATACTGTAGCATTTCTTAGTGGCTGCCCCTTTCATTCACTGAAAAAGAGTATTATTTTATTTTGTGCTTGAAATAAATATCAAAGTGTTTGTTTTCAACCTTCTGCTTCAGGGTGAAAATCCTTTTGAAATTAATGATCAGGCTCAAGAGCAGCAGACAGAGGAAGAGGACAAAGCTGATGAGCCAGCCGAGGGTGAGGAAGAGGAGGAAGAAGAGGAGGAAGAAACTGAAGAACAAACTGACTTCACTTTAGACCACACTGAAGATAATTAAGTGCAAGAAAATAAAAATACATTGGGGGGGTCCAGCCAGCTTTTTATTTCTGCTCTAAAGTGGCTGAGACTTTTTAATAGTCTCAGATGAAGTTGGAGATTCCCCACCATTTGCATGCATTCCATTCCATGGAGAACTTGTTTATATAATTCCTCTGTGTTTCTGATTTTGTTTAAAATGAAATTAAGACTATTTTAGTTGAGCTTTTTATAGAAAACTGACTATTAAAGCTGATCAGAACATTGTGTTGTATATTTTTTTAAGCATCCTATTTTTTTGGTGTGTGTATTGAAAGTTGGATATAATAATAATTTTTGGTCTAATCAGTTGAAAAGAAAGGTGGGTCTCTGGGGTAAATACATTAAAAGCTTTATCGTGTAAGCTATTAATATTTACCTCTAAGTACAGAATGAGTATCTTCAAAAATTGTGCTGTTGAGTGTGGCTGTTTGGGGAACTGCATTGCACTCTGTATAATAGAGTATGTGTTTATAATGCCTTGTAGCTTTTTGTGATAAGATGTACCAGTTTGTAGCAATAAAAACTTAAGAAATGTTACTGTTTAAAGTGTCTGTAGTTAAGTATTTCAAGAATTTCCTTATGCTGACTACTAAATTGGTTTCCAATTAGATCTTGATTGATATTGTCATTGAAATTATTTAAAATTTGTAGTTGCATCTTAGTGACTTCTGTTATTTATTACTGATTTTTGATATATTCAGACTCCACCTAAAGAGAGATAAGGACTTGAGCCTTCATAGCATATCTTGGGGAAGTGTGTTTTCTGTATATTTACATGTTGTGTACTCTTGTCTGTCTTAGAAATTACTTTTAAGTACACCTGTGTTTTTTCTGCAGTTCCTGCTAATCTAGCTTTTGACTAATGAGAAGTGAAATGTCTGATTTAACGGTTTTTAAGTGCAGCAAAGTAACTTGGATTATTTTTCCCTAGATGTGGTAATGTAACAGAAGTAACTGTACAATCTCTGGTGGTCTTTATGGGGATTGTTTTGTAAAAATCTGATCATACGTGTAATGTTGCGCATTTCTGTTGGAGAGCCCTTTTGTTAATTAATAGTCATCACTGTATAGAGGTGGTATTACAATACTTCTAACCTCACCTGTAAACCAGTTTGCTTTTTCAGTGATGAATTTTACAATGAGGGGAAGTGTGCAAGTGTTATGGGAGTACTTGACTTAGATATTAGGCCACCTAACAACCTAGTAGCAATCATCTCTGAAGAATGCTGTGCATTGCAGTCATTTAGCTGTTGCCTTTTAGTGTAACTTTGAGAGTAGAAGATACAACACCATGAGGAAAGAGAGGGAGCTGAGTTTGGTGTCTTGACCTCCTATTTATGGCCTTATATTTTTTTATTTCTATTTTAAAAAATCAGCATGATGTAGACTACATTGTTGTACCTGTAAGTGTCAGCTTGGAACCAGAAGCTGCATGGGTTGGTTGAAAGATGTGTTAAGCCTGCAGCTGTTTGAACAGTATCTCTTTTAGCTGTGCAAGCTTATAAGAACAAAAAGGCTCCCTAGACCTCTAAATACTCATTCTCCTGTTCTCAGTCTTAAGGCTAGGATCAGGATTGATATTTGCATTACTTTTAAGGTGTAACTCCCCTTCTGCCTTACAAGCTGGTCACTCAGCTATTTGTGTTCTACTTGTAGGTCTCTTGCCTTATAAGAGAAAGATGCATCTTGTAATCTCTTCCCAGACAAGTTAACAGGAAGTGTATCAGTGTTCTAGAAATTGGAGAGAGCTTTAGCATGAGAACTTGTTTGCAGTAGTTAAGAGAATTGAGATGCTGCCCAAATTTCTGCAAGTGGTGAGTTTTTTTCTCTTTGTCTATGGCTCCTTTATTAGTCGGAGAGAATGAAATTGCTTCTACTCAGCTAAGATAAGCCCTTCTACTTAGAATCTCAGTACTTTTTATTTCCATTGCTGCAGTCATTTTATCCATATGGGATGGCATCAGGATCTTTGAATTCAAAGCATTTGTGATTTGACTGTTACCTGAAACATGTAATTTACTACTTCTTTACAGTAGTAGTTCTCATGTATGAAGTGTGTTAAATGATAGCTTATACTTGGATGACAGATTTTGGGGGGTGGAGGGAACAACTGCTGGTTATAATGGACAAAATTACCTTTTTCCGTAGGCTTAGAAGGAACTTCTAATGGAGTCCCTGGGTCCCTTTTGTAGCTAACGTTTTATGAAATTAATTTTCCTAGATGAGTGAAGTATGGACATAATTTCAGAGGGAGTTCTGGCTGCCTGTTCAGGTGACACCATTGGTAAGACACACACACACCCTCTCGTTCCAAACTGAGTGAAGATAGCGTTTGTTTGGTTCAGAATCTCAGAAGTAAAGACTACGATTTTATGCAGTTCTGGAGAAAGGTGCCTGCTGATTTACACATCTCTGCTCAAAGACCTTTAACAGTTTCCTTTGAATTCCCCAAAGACCAGCTATGTGCTGTCAACTGCCTCACTCTTTATAAGTGTTGGTTGCAGTAGGATATACCTTTCCCTAGATGGTTTTCTGAATAACTTTCTTGGAATGTTGAGTACACCAAGTGAAAACCATTTATAAAACCACAAAAAATTTGAGAACATGTTTGTATCCCGCATACCTAAAGACCACTTTAAATGAAAGATGAGTGAAAAACTGGACTTAAAATGTAGTTGTTGATACTTCACACTCCAGATGATAACTGATTGCTAATGGTGTTTCTTGGAGAGTCAGCTGATTAGGGAAAAGCAGTTGGAGGGAGTTTATGGTAGATCTTATGCTGGAAGCAGTATTGAGAGGGTTGAAAAAATTTTGCAGATGGTAAAGTGACACTGAGTGAAAAGTGTTTCAGGATGTTTAAAAACATCTTTTGGGAATAAAAATGGCTTCCTTATATTACAGGCAAGATCTCTCTAAACCTGTTTCAGTGCATGGGCTGCATAACTTTTTAGTGTCTTGAGTAGAATAACAGAGAAGGTGTGGTATGGCTGATCTGAGTAGTGAAAACTGCATGGAATGTTTCAGGTGAGAATTTGCAAAAGAATTGCAGGATTTGACTTGCACAATGATGCTAATGCTATTTTTATTTCTATTGGAAACATCCTGATGTGTTTTTAATCTTCTATAGGAGTACTGAATGGTGTTCTTGGTTTATAGTTGTGCTGAAGAATACATGCAACTCACATTCTAACTACCTCTTTCTGGAGCTAGAACTTAAATCTTTTTGCTCTGAGAAATGTTGACAAATATTATGTGGGGTTTTGTTTGTGTTTTTTGTTTTGTTTAGGGTTGGACTTGCAAGGTAGCCAGTACAGTAATATGGGCACTAATCCTTGGAATTTACACATAGTGAATGACTGCCCTATACGTGTACTCCTATGTGTGTTGCAGCCCAAATGCACTGGGCTTTTTGTATACACAGTATAATTGTAGAATAATTAGCATCACACCTGTGCAATACTCTGCTTGTTTTCATGCTGTGTGAAGGATTGAAATCTTTAAACAAGCATGTAGATTCTCTTGCTTTGGCTCCTCCTGTATTACTTACAGTTAAGAGTTAAATCAGTTTTTAGCTTTCTGAATAGTAGTTTTACATTTTCTTGCTCTCATCTGTCAACAGACTTTTACAAAAAAAGCTTTTCTTTAAATGTTTTTTTCAGCTGCTAGAATGTTTCCTACTCTTTTTAAGTAGCCCTAAAATAAAGGATCCAGAATTTTGCTTCAATTGGTTATCCTTCCACTAACTGAAGTCCTTACCTACTCAGCTTTTAAGACTGTAGGGAGAAACTTTATTGTAAGGAATGCCCATAGCCATCAGAGAGTTGGGTCTCTCCTAGGGTCTTCTTCCCATCTTATATGAAGGAAAGACTTGGTAAGTCCCACATACTCTTGAGTCTAAAGCCTGCAATGAAGTTCCTCAAATCATGTGAGAGGATAAAAATTCTATATCCAGTTTGTTAGCAGTGAATGTTTATTCTGATTTAAGTATAAAAATAAATAACATATCATCTGTTTAATTTGTTTTTAAATTAATTTCTAAACTTGTGTCAAGTTTTTAGGCTTACAATCTTGTACTTCCTTTTAAAATAAGTCCTACAGCTCAATTCAGCTGTCTTTAAACAGTTTTGACTGGTTTAAAGTACAGTTAGCCAATGAATAATAATAAGGCTTTCTGTATAAGTAAAATTGTGTATAGACTGAAGTCCAACATGTAATACAAAAGAGTTTCTGATTTTATTCTCCAAATCTAAGCTCTCCTCATCCCATCCTTTGGTACTTCAAAGCTGATGCTTACAGGAAAAGGAATAAATACCCAGAGGGTAAATTTGAGCATTAAAATCTGCTGGGGCAAAAGCAAAAGAGAGGACTTCTTAAGAAGGCCCCACAACCCCCTACTATCCTGTGATTCTGATTTCAAACAAAGTCCTTCCCGTATGCAGAAATGTGGTTGGGTTTTTTTGGTGTGTTTGGATCTTTTTTTTTCCATGATTGAAGATTACCAAATGTTATAGGAGAACAAGGAATAAATAATCTGCTTACCTTTTTGGTCCCCTACAGGTGAAAGATTTAAGTATTTACACCAAATGTACCTGTTCTTTTTATGGAGACTTACCAACTTCATTCCTGTTTACCCTGGACATCTTTCTTGTGGACTCTGTAATACGTATTCCAAACTGTTGCTGTTTTTGTAGAGTTCTTTATAAACCCAAAGTTATGAAGGTAAGTCAAGGGTGTTAGGAGCTTTTGGGAATCACCAAAAAAGCTAAGGATGGATAATATGGTGGCAGGAGGAATGCATATATTGTGAATAAGTACAACCTACTGTGTATTTAAGTGAATATTTGTCAAATATTTTTAAGAGCCGAACAGCTGTATTGACTTAGGAAAAGAGCCACAAGTGTCGATGTGCCCCATTTAAAGAAGAACATCTTGGTTAATGTACAATCCGTTTCAATCTTCTCACTTCAGGCAGGTCATAAGACAGATGTCCTTCATCACCAGCTAATAACACTGTGGTCCACATCCTTTTTTTTTTCTTTTGTTGTCAGTCTGTAAGGTTGCTGTCTTATTAAACCATCAATCATTAAGCTTCCTTCAAATGTACCTGTAAATCAGTCTTCCTCTTTCCACACTGAGGGGACTGAAACACATTGGAGCCTGTTTGAGTTTCTTAGAACATAGCTAAGATAAGCTGTTTAGCTACTACTCATATGGGAGTGGACAGTTAACAGTTGTCTTAACATCAGAGTTGGAGTCAAGCAGTGCTGAATGTCTTACAGCATTACTCATTAGAGTTTCCTATCTGGTCCTACTCTCCATAGGTATCATAGGGACTACTAGAGTCATCGGGATGGAGTAATCTCTAGCCTGTCCCTCTTGTCGCCCTGCAGACATCTGCTGAGTGTCTGGAACATAAGATCAGATTTTGTATTTCTCCCTGAATTTCCTTAGAACTACGTCCAGGAGTTGAGGTCAGGTCAGGTTGCAGGTCAACGTTGCAGCAGTTCCAGAGAAGCTCAATGGAGCTGGTGAAG